GGTACAGCAGCAGCACCATATCACCCCTCTACCCTACTCAGGCTCCCATGTTCCCTTGTCTGAGTAAGGGTCAGAGGTTAAGTGTTGTCACATGGCCGGCATAGCTTGCCTAATGACTGACAGGTGGGCACAAGACCTGAATACTGACTCGTTATCTCGCTATCAGACTCGTTGGAGGCGCCCACTGTGCAAACATGAGAGCATCTAAAACTGATTTGTTTCATATAAACCAGTGATGGCTCTTGGATCTTTGACTTAATGATATAGAATAAGACTAAAATTATTGTGTGTAGGAAATATTCAGTAGTCTGTGGCTAGAAGGAGACTTGTGCTGTTTTAATAAAATAATATAATTTTAAAGTTAGATTTAAATTTGTTTTATTTTGGATCTAAATTCTGGACCAGCTATCACATAAATGTGGGGCAGTAGATAAGAAAGTTGTTCCATCTGTAATGTGGTGAAACTAAACCATAAAGTGGCATGAAAAGAAAATAGTACTTTACATATCAAGCTCTTACATATAACATAAAGAACTTTTAAAAATGGCAACTTGAAAATAAATGGACTATCCAACAGCATAAATATTTTTTTTTAACAGTATAATTAAGTATTATAATAATTATTTGTAAGTAATTAAGCTATTTGTTGATAATGGATTTGTTGATCAGTCAATTATCAGTAAACTAGTCAGTAACTGTTCGGATAACTGATAATCATCGAAGTATTACATTATGTCAAAATATCTCAGGTGTTAATCTTCAACAATGTGAAGTTTCAATGCTTTTGTATGTCATGAATTACAGTTCAGTTTGGACTGTTGGTCTGAGGACACAAAACATGTGAAGGGGCCACTTGTGATGGATGTTTCTCACAAGGAAAATTACGACTGGTTTGAGTACCACATAAAGAGTCTAAAACTACCACCTCAACCAACACAGGGGTTAAACGTTGCTTAGACATTAATGCACAAGGAATAGCATCAGTCACAGGGGCCAATTGTCTTTGCATTGATTACTTTTACGTGTGATACTTGAAGTACATTTTCCTGAATTTACTTTTAGTTGTTTTTAAATAAATGATCGAAATGCTTCCTCCACCATTCTACCTCAGTTATTACAGTTTCAGTTCATCACGATCTGATAAAACACAAAAGAGTCAGAGTCTGGCTATAACTGTGGTGCTGTGAAGCCATTTTGCTTGTCTCCTGGCAGCTGCTGGATATGTATTAATAGAAAGTTCTTTCACAGTCTTCCCTGCACCAAATGTCTCAGTAGTAGTTGTGAGGACTGGTTAACAGTCAAATCTAGACCAGTGTAGAAAACATCAGTAAATGTGCTCTCATCCCATTAGCCCATCTAAATGTGGAGCCTAGCTAACCTCTGCTATTACCCCTGACCAGAGAGCAATCAGACCCTGGCTAGCTTCGCCAGACTGGTGTATTTTTAGAAGTCTCATCAACACACGATGATTAGCAGCAATTCAGAGTTGGTATGTATGCAGTCATATAGTGGAAACCACAGGGGGGCGACTTTGAGGCTGTAACTGGGGAGGAACTGGGTTGGTTTTATTTCTGGAGCATGTGTTGCCCTGGTCCGGGCCGCGACCAACAGCTGAGCATGTGCCAGTGCAAGGGCAAGCCACGATGTCTGTCCCTGTAGTGATGGCCTGATGCAGGTTGTGATAATCAACATCAGTGTTGACCTTCAGCCTGAGTGCACATACTCAGTAACACAATCCCTGCAGTGTGTGTGTGTGTGTGTGTGTGTGTGTGTGTGTGTGTGTTTCTCAGCCTTTTATTACTGCTTCACATTCATTTGTCTCCTTGAGAAACTTCAAAACTCTATTACACAGGAGAAAAACCACTGGGTCCTCTACTCTGTCATTGTGTGATTGGCTCAAGTTATTACCAAAGCAAATTGGGTTAGAAAACCACAGTCCTCTTAATCATCTGAGCAACAGACGGGGGCTGAGAAAGATCAAAAGTGAGGCTGGCCAATGTTTTTCATGTTTAACTGACTTGCGACCAGAAGCCTCCATCTATATCAATATGTAAAGGGCTGTGGGGAGACAAATGACAGGGAGCGCAGCAGGATCCGCCTAAAGCGGTTTGTGGTTGGTCAATTATTTCGACACATACATCATCACCACATGGGATTTCTCAGTGTTGCTCTCATGTATACTGTTGGGCTTTGGGTCCATTGTGGTTTCAATCATCAGCAAGTCAAGTATCTCTTTTATTGTTTGATGTGGTCAGATCGTTTGCTGTTGTGAATGTTTTGAATGTAACAGTACATATTAATTCGATGCACAGCTGCTCGTCCCTTCAGTGAGTCAGCCCAGGCTCTGGAACTTAAGTACAAATATTTACAAAGTGTCGAACCCACTGTGATTTGTGTGAGTGTAACTTTCATGACGGTGCCTTAAAAGAACAGAATAAACAGCACATAGTTCTGAAGCTGATGTTACTATGAGCTGTTCAGTGTTGAGCTTCAATGAATGACTGGCTCTCTCTGGTGGTCAATTAAGGAACAGCTCAAAGCCTGTTTCAACCTTCTGAAGTCAATTCTGCAGGCAACCGTGCAAACCTCGACAAAACATAGACAGTTGTCCTGAGACAAAATGAAAACTCAGTTTCGACACATACATTCATCGTCCATAAGACAAAATCAGAAATGAGCACAGACACAAAACCACAAAGAGACAGAAAAGATCACAAAAAGATGCAATCACACATACAAAACAACCACAAAGACACAAAACAATCTCAAAGAGACACTAAACAACAACAAGGAGACAATAAACAACCACAAGGAGACACTAAACAGGCACAAAGAGACAAAACAACCACAAAGAGACACTAAACAACAACAAGGAGACACTAAACAGGCAAAAAGAGACAAAACAACCACAAAGAGACACAAAACCATCACATAGACAAAACAACCACAGAGAGACAAAACAGCACCTTGACACACCAACAACAAAGAGACAAAACCACCACAAAGAGACACTAAACAACCACAAAGA